TGTTTGAGAGTAGATCTTAGGTGGCTTCTTTGTAGGGTTAAATCTTAGAAATTCTTTTCTTACATTAAATTTAAATTTAAATTTGAAATATCTGATTAAGACCGAATGATCATATTTGTATATATCATAAATTTTAAAGTTTTATTGGTAAATTAAGTATTTATCAAGAAAATATTTTAAATTGTTTTGAATTTTTGTTATACTGATTCTTTTAATTAATTGGTGTTAGAAAAAAGATATATTATATATTTGAAAAAAAAAATGTGTTAGATTCTGATTTCTTAAGAGTAAAATAAAAGTGATAACATCTCGTAAGTATTCTTTAAGAATGTAAAACTAAATATCACAAGAAACATCTTTGTGTTATAGACTTGTAGGTGTATTGGTGAAATTCGATCAAGAGAGTTTCACTTTAAAATAAGTGAATGACTCGCATTTTTTATTTAGTCAACGAACTTGTGCGGAGACTAGCTTTTAAGAGAAATCAACTTAAACATGATCGTAACATAGGGTATGTAAGTTAGTGTGGTAATTCCTATCTATATTTATTTCAAGATCCCTAATGATATGACGTCTGGCTTTTCAGTTAGATATAATATTGTTTTTTACGATTTTTAGCGAGTAAACGATTATTAAAATTTTTATCAAGCAAATATTTTGCAGTTAATGAATTGTAACTCACTATGCTCAACACTTATCAATTTTAATTTCTTTGTTTCTTTCTTATAATTTGATTAATTATCAAACTAAACTAATATTATTTATTTTTATTAAGGTTAAGACGTTAACGTCTGAATATGCGAATTAATATTAAGATATGCATTGAGATTTAGATATCTAAATTTGACTATTAAGATTTTGTATTAAAATTTGAGTACTAAATAGTTAAGACAAATTGTTTTCTCAACATTTATATATATAAAATTTTATCCTTGTAAAATATTCAAATAAAATATTGAATTGATCTAATATCATATCAATAAAAATAAAATTAAAAACTATAGGGAAAATGATCAAATATATCATTAAACTATGTGAAAGGAATAAAAATGTCTTCCATTTATAGTTTGACTCAAAAATGTTCTTACCGTCAATACTTTGGTTCAAAAATGTCCGTAAACTATGTGAAAGAAACAAAAATGCCTCCTATTTGTAGTTTGATCCGTACTTTGGTCCAATAATATCCTTATTGTTATTTAATCAGTCAAAAAAGTTCACTTTCCAAATAAATATATTATTATTTTCTTTTTGACATATTTTTTTCAATTAATGTTTTCTTAAAAAAAATTAACAAATGTTTCTCTTACTTTAATTCAGAAAAAAATGAACATATTTTTTTTTATCATCAATATATTTTATTGTTATATAAATATAAATTAATGATAGATATACTATGATCTTATATATCTATGTAATATATTATCTATCGAAAGGGTACATGAAATTATTCCATTTTAATTGATAAAATGAGATTAAGAACAAAAAATATTTCCTACATAGTGTTCCTTAATAATATTTTAATTTAAAAGAAGATGTGTTTAAAAAGAAAAATATATACATCTATTTGGAAAAAAGACATTTTTGACTCATTTTGTAACTTTAAGGGCATTTATGGATCAAGTATTGACTGCAAGACATTTTTGAGCCAAAGTATTGACGGTAAGGACATTTCTAAGTCAAACTATAAACGGATGACATTTTTATTCCCTTTACATAATTTAAGAAAATTTTCGACCTTTTTTTCCAAAATTATATGATAGTTGGTGATGGAGATGACTAACATAGTGATTGTGTATGTCGATTTAAGATGGTATTTGACTAACGATGATGGTTGTGAATAGTATCTTATGGTATAGTTGTTGACAATGATCAATTGTTATTTTCAATGGTGCCGGTGACAAAAATTTACATGGCGGTCGGTGATGGTGATAACTATCAATAGTGATTGTATGTGTAGATTTAAGATGGTACTGACTATTGATCAACTGTGGTTCTTGATATTGGTGACTGACAATGATTTATGAAATGATACTAATAGTTATTGCAATCAATAGTGATGGTGATTGATGATGACGGTTAGCAATATATATAGTGTTGATTAATAATGATAATAATCGATAGTAACAAGTGGATGTAATAATGATTGATCGTGATAATTACAAATGATGTCTAATAATAATGATAATTGATTTTGATAATTCACGATAAAATAAGTTTATGATTGGACCGAATACGATGGTTGTGAACCATAATTAAAAAGAAAAATTCACAAAGTTTTTGTATTAGGACCGAACACACATTATTGGTCCAGCCAAGTGCACTCACTCATGGTGGTAGGGGCATAGACGTGGCCTTATCAACAACTACACTAATGAGAGTACTTTTGGCTTCAAATTTAACCAAGACTAGCATATATATTTTTTTCGCGGAACATAAATTTCATTATGAAAATTTACAAAATTTCAATAAATAATAGATATAAACTTATAATAAACTTTGAAAGTATGACGAATTCGATTGTAAACGTTTTCAAACTTAATAATTGAAATTCTGAATCCATTTATGAATAGTCTAAATACCAAAGTCGGAAAGGCCTTTATGATGTGCTAATAAGATATTGAAGTGAGGTTTGAGCCTACATGTAGTAATAACAGCAGACAGAGTCCAATTTCAATACCCTCTCGTGTGCATTGGAATACGTGTGGGGAAGAGTGAATTCGTGTTCATCGGTTCTTCTTCGATCTATCTTTTTTTTTCTCCTCAAGTCTATGGCAGAAACATTTTAGAGTTTAACAAAAATAACTTATGACTTTACAAAGTAGAGGTAAGATTGCATACACTTTATCTTCACCAGACTCCGCTTATCAAATTACATTGAGTGTGTTATTATCCATGGACGGGTCTTAAGGGTCGGTTATGAGTTCATATGAAATCAATAATTCCTTTTTTACAAATCATATATATTAAATAATTCATTAAATAATTCATTAAATGTATATAAAATTTGATTGTGTATCTAATTATTATTAATTAAAGTATTAACTTAAGTTCATTTAAATAATTCATATACTTTAAATTCTGAAATTCTTTCTATTCATGTCTCATAGCTAGCTAATTAGCTATCAATGCCAAACTGAAATAACTTTGGAGGTGTAGGGTGTTTGAAAGTTCAACTTATAAACAAATTTTTAACTCCCTCTGTCTCAATTTAAGTAAGTACTTTTTCAACTTTTTTTAAAAGTCAAAAAAATTTAAGCAAGAAAATCTTCAAAATTTTTTTGAAAAAGAAATTTAAAATATTTAAAACATAAATAAAAAAGTACTATAAATCATAATAATTGACAATTCAAAATATTTAAAAGATAAAATGAAAATTTTACAGTTAAAAATACACTTGTATAAATCTTGAAATTCATAAAGTGTCACGTAAGTTGAAAAAAAAGAAGCATATTTTATTGGAACTATTGAGCTAGAACAATATGCACACATATACAGATCAAACTCATTTTGAATCTACTTATTATGTTAGGTTTTAGATTCGTCTATTTTAGAGGTGGAACTCATCGAACTTAAATTCTAGATCCGCCGAAGTGATCTAATTTCCTCCCTCTTAAAATTGAATGCATTTGTTAGATGTCAAATGCAGGCAGGTCTGTTGGGATGATTAATAATGAGAAGAAAATTAAAGGCAATGAAAACACAGCCTAAATACAGCAAAACTGATTTTGTTTGTTTTCTTTGAAAACAAAATATGTTGCCATGAAGCTTCTAATTGACAAAATCCAAGAATTGTCTTGTCATTGTTGGTTGTATACATTCTTTCAACTACATAGACAAGTAGATCTGTCATTTGATTGTTCAGAATATGTTAGTTGTTCTATAATAATAGTGTTCCTCTTTTTAATGTGCATTACGCAGGTGTAAATCTGAATTAATCGGGATGCTAAAAAAAACTAAAAAGAAAGTACAATCTGTACTCATGAAATGTAGCATCTGATTCCCTTCTTTCATTTCTGTCTAGTTTTTTCATTCACTATTCACAAATCATATCTTCTACTAAAGCATTTCATACCTTGAAATTCTATATTTAGAGTGTTTAAACTCGAGACTTCTAATTAAAAATGAAACTCAACCATCCAACCATATACTCTATTGTTTCCTTTTCACCAACTACATCGTTGGTCCCTTACAGTTTCACCCCTTGTCATTTTGACATAACAGTTGACATAAATTTATTACACACAATAACAACTTCAGTCAATGCATGCCTATTAAACAGAATAAGCCAACATGTCGTACTCAGACGTGTGAATTGATCCGATGTATAAAAGGCATAACTTAGACATACGCTAAATGTCTAATAGGTAGCAGGTTAAGTTGAAGTGTCTAAACGAAAAATGGTAACAAATATATCGAGAATCCCTATAAGTTGTATGGCTTTTCATTCCAAAGCTTCAACTGACCATTATATATCAGACACTTCGAGTTCAGTCAGTCAATGTATTGCCAATTAAACACAATATATAAAACCGACATGCACAAAGAACATATATCTCACCTGTCTAAAGCAAGTGAAATTGATCCGATAGGTAAGAGTTATATCTTAGATATATGTTAAATGTCTAACAGGTAACAGGTTCAGTTGAAGTGTCTAAATGAAAAAAAAAGTCTTGTAGAGTTTTAGTCCATATATGTGGGTGAGCTTGTCCCTCTCTTGTCCCCTACATGTTCAAAGTTGCTACTCTTCCAGCCAACAGCTTAGCTTGTCTTTGTCCCAATTTTATGTACTTTTTGGAACATTTATTTAATGATTCTCCAACTCTTCCCCCTTTTCCTATTATATAACAACAGCCCACAAACTATTAGCTAACTCATATTTTCTTGAACACAAATACAGGGCAAAAAAAACAATCTCTTCACATCAATCTTGAAGAAGAAAACCAAGAAAGACCTAGAATATTGAGTTTATTGTTTGTTGTGCAGAAGTTTTTATTACCAGGATGGAGAAAATTTTGAATCTTAAAGCAACAGAACTTAGATTGGGTTTGCCAGGGACAGAGGAAGAAGTTGATCACCAACAAATTGTGCCCAATTCCAAGAATAAGAAAAGGTCTTTATCTGAATATGAAGATGAATCAAGTTCAGATTATGAACCCACAACACCCCCTGTTGCCAAGTAAGTTTCATACTCCATCTGTTCCAATCTATCTGACAAAGCTAAATTGCTACCACAAACAAGACGTAACTATGAAATTCGCCATAGCACAGGTTGACCATCCAAAATGTGCTCCTGTATTTTTCTTAAGAGATTCACTTAATATAAATAAACAACGTATCCAGAATCCAATAAGCTGTTTTTCTATTTATTAGAATTTAGAACTCATTAACTAAAAATTCTGTGGATCTGCCTACTAAATTGCAGGGCACAAATAGTGGGGTGGCCACCAGTGAGATCTTACCGGAAGAACACCTTACAAATTACTACAAAGAAAACAGAAGCTCATCAAGATCAGTGTGGAATCTATGTCAAAGTTAGCATGGATGGAGCCCCTTTTCTTAGAAAAATTGATCTTAAAATGTACAAGTGCTACACTGAACTCCTTAAAGCAATGGAGAAAATGTTCAAGCTCAACATAGGTGAATATTCAGAGAGGGAAGGCTATAAAGGGTCAGAATTTGCACCTGTTTATGAAGATAAAGAAGGTGATTTGATGCTTGTTGGAGATGTTCCTTGGGAGTAAGTTCTTGAACCTTGACCACCACCACACCACTCGTTAAAAGAATTTTTACACGATCATAAGCAAATTTTTGGAAGATAAGATTATTAAAAATGTATTTTTTCAAAAAGAAAGAAGGAAATAGGCTAAGCTGCATTAGTCAGGAGTAAGTGGTTAAATACATAGTTAACTTTCAGAGTGATATATATAATTAGTAATCTTATAAATATGAAAACAATTAACATGTTATAATAAGTTAAAATACATAGATCATGTAAAAAATCATTACACTGGCAACGTATATAACTTAAATTTATATAGGTTACATGTCTAAGCCTGGATTTTAATGAGATTATTTTCATGGATATTGCAGAATGTTCATGTCATCATGCAAGAGGCTGAGGATAATGAAAGGATCAGAAGCAAGAGGCTTGGGATCAAGTGAACTATGATACATATATATAAATATACCACACGCATTTTGAGGCTTTTATGAAAATTTACCTGTTCAGAAGATCATGAAATTGATTTATTAATTTATTTTGAAACACTGTAGTCAAACAGAAAAAAGAAAAAGACTTGGTAATTGCAGTTACTTTTTCGTTTTTGTTCTTTTTGTAACATCATATATATAGCAGGGGATGAACCATGGTGGTTTATAAATCCTGCATATTTTTTTGAGACTGGGATAATCTCCCCTTCAAACATACAAAGTAACTGTACTTTTTTTTGGCTGTGAAACCAATTGTACAAACACACATTGTATTTTTGCTTTTCAATTCTTGATATGAAAAGTATGGTTTGTTCTCCAATCTCCATATTTAATTTCACTAGACTTTACAAAGTGCCAGTTGATTACTTTTATAAAAAAAAATTTGGAACAGGTAACATTTTTGTGTATTAATAACAAACTACACAAAGGGTGTGTAATCCCCCATATATACATCCAGATGAGCAAAAGAACAGAAATAAAGAAATGAAGAAGCTCCTAATCCTTAATCTTCTCACAAGGAATCTAGTACAATCATAAGTTGATTCTAAATCATCCATTAAGCTATGGTTACACCAAAAAAAGAAAAGCCCTAAACATTCCATCTTTAGTTTCTATATACTAATGGCTTTGTCTTCAAACAAACTTGGTTTCTTTCTTCCCGCACAGTCCACCAAATGCAAGCTGGGACAATTTTCTTTTATAATACATCGCTAGCTATCCACTATAAAAAAGATACAAGGAGTCACAACCAACCCACAAGAGTGAGGGGGAAACAAGCAGCTAATAACAGAGAGTTTGGAAAAAAAAATATACACTCCTCCCTACAATGATATAGATAGATGGATTGGTTGCTTTCTTAAGTGTTGCCATTGTTCAAGGTGTGACTGAACTCAAGAAAGTTGATAAAGGGGCCAATGATTGAGCTAAAAGCAAAAATTGTGTCATCTGAGTTTGATTGCATTACCAAGGATTTCAGAGGGTGATTCAAGAGAAAATAGGTAAGGATATATAGACGGATGGGCCTAAAAGAAATTAGGAGTTCTTGATTGCACCTGCAGTAATTTAGAAGTCTACAATGGGGCCGCTTGTTCTGGCTTGACCATTGATTGGTTGTCACTTTGCTGAGTCGGATAGATAAGTGCAGCAAGTGAAATAGGCATGATGCAGAGTGATTTGGATTGAAGGTACTGCATGGCTGTTCCAACATCTTCCTCCATGAGCTTTGCTACCTCTTGCTCTGTTTCAGAATCAGACCACTTCTCCCAGACGCGCTGGTTGGAATGACTTTCACAGGTGTCTCCCTAAAATAATGACAAAACAATGAAGTCTTGGAGAAAATGTAGCAATCTTACAGTTGAGTAATCAGAAACTATAGAGGTATTTTCGACGATGTTCAGTTAGTTAGAAGCAGAAAAGAGTGATTGTGTTGATTACCTCAACAGACTGCAATGGAATATCAGCAACAACTTGTGCCGCCGCGCTAGTTCCTCCCAACCTACTCATGCTCAGTACCTTTAGGCATATTTAAGGCAAATCACTTATTCGATCAACATAATCAAGAGAACTAATATGGGACGGTCTATTCATGTATTTAATTTGTCCAACCTTTACTACAGCCAGAACTCCCTTAAGATATTGCAATGATGACCAAAACAAAGTATGATGGTAAAAGATTAAGAGCTTTAAACATTACTACAATGATGATCATTGATATTCAATTAAAGAATTCAGCCAGTAAACTCATTACATAATGTTTCGAGTAGACAATACTTTAGTCTTTAAGAGCCACCATTCATCCTCGGCGAGGTTATTTGTTTAATGGGAAGGAGAAGAGGAAGAAGAATTTCAATTGATGAAAAGAAACAAGTTGAACCAGTGTTGGACGAGATTTTTTCTTCTTTTGATATTTTAACACTCTTAGAATGGTTGATGCAAGGATAAGCTCCAGTTTGAATTATCAAGCGAAAATTGAAATCACTAAGGGGACGTTTGGTATGGGGATAAGAGATATTAATCTTGGGATAAAATACGAGACTATTGCATTTGGTTAGAGGTATTAATTCCATTTGAAATAAAATGATAGGATTAGTTATCCCATATAAATGGTGGGATAACTAATCCCATGAGATATCCCAATCCAAGGGATAACTTTGTCTATCCCATCCCCTGTACCAAACGACCCCTAAGAGTATTATTGCTCATTAGCAAACTACAAGGTGCATTAAACTTGCAAGGAAGCAAAATAAATTAATGGAAACACAGTGTGTAATCCTTTGCAGTGTACGATTAAGGTGATGTTAACCTTCAATGTGTGAGGTTGGCATAGATATACTTGAACAAAAGAATTATTGAACACCACCATGAGAATTCACTAACAGATTGTGAACTTCTCAGAATGGCTAAGACTAGCTTATTTTTTCGTGGAGGTGGTAGCTTAATATGTTCCCCATTTCAAAAGACCAGTTCCATTATCAAATCAAGAATGAAATCATATGGAAGAATAAAAACAAGAAGAACCAGTGCCGTTGTAGATAACTCAAAATTGCAAGAACTTTAGTGATGTTTGTCATGGAATATAATGGCTAGATGATAGAGTCATCAGCTAAGCTAGTATTTGGCTTGAAAATTAGTTGACAGTCAAATTACCTTATTTTAAGAAAAAAAATTGCCTCATAATGATCGACAAATTACCTTAACTTGAAGCCTTAAGAACTTCACATAGTCCAGAATCTCATCAAGCATTGCTGCCCTGTCGGTCTGGCAAGACAGAAAAGAAAAATATCATTACCACAAGCTACGACAACATCTTTTGAATTGCATCTATAACTGAATAAACCAACTTGTATCTTTAAAAATAAAACTGAAGTGAGCCAATTCATAGAAAGTACCAATTAAAATGAAGTATAACTTGTTCTAAAATTTGCAACCAATTTTCACATTTAGTAACTTGAATCCATTAAGCAACAGTCAAACTTGTTATAACAAAAAAATACTATTTTTCTAAATTTTAGGTAATGGCATTTTAATATCATGATAAACAATGGGTCAGAACAAAAGTTAATATATCCATTATTTGGAATATATATCTTTAAGATTGAATGAGCCTGAATTGTTATCTGTCGCAACAAGAAAACAAATGCTCAACAATGAAATTTGTGGCAACCGGAGAACAGAGCACACCTTATTGCAGCTGGGGGCAAGTTCCTGTAAAGCCTTTATTCGTTCTGATATCCTTTCTCTCCTTAACTGTAAAGAGACGGGCACATTATTCAGACACTTGTTCCTAGAGCATAATCCACAGGCCCCCACATTTTACAACAAAATTGATTTAATTTTTTGAGAATTAACATAGCTTAATGTTCTCCTTACAAACATCTAACTATATTTGTCATATTACCCGCTCAGCAATACTATGTGGATCAGTGGCCTGTCCTCTTCGTGCCCGAACCCTAGGACGAATTGCAGGTTGGTGTGGTATTGTTACTATTGCGCTTGATGTAGGGTGGCCTTGAAAAGGCTGCAAGAACCAAAGAGAAGTTAAGAGATTTATTAGTAAATAATGGTTATAAATCATACACTGACAAAGATGCCACAATTTTAAAATTAAAATCTCAATACAAGACTCGTCAAGCCTGTCGCATGCAACTAAACCGGAATTAGGAAGTGAGGGGTAAATGAAATACATAAAAATTAATGCAAAAATAATCATGGTTTGAAAACTGGGTGGACTCATGTTAGCCCATATTACAAATGGGTGGTTTAAATATGGTTTAACATCGATGGTTTGGGCGGGTCAAAACAATTTTGAGCTGAAATTTCCACCACTACTCAAGATTTTAGAAACAAGCTATCACAGAAGGAAGCAACAAAAGAATATGATAAAGCCTTTGTCTCTCCTTCCTTATGATCCATAGCCAAGATGTAGATGTCCAGCTAATGTGAAGTATACAAATAAAATAAAATCTTCTTGGGGAACAAAAGGTGCAATTTTTACACCTTTACTAGGAACATTAAGTATCTGAAGCTAAGAGGTCAAAAAGATTCAGTAGCCTGTCCGTTTTATATCGGGATTTGATGCTTCTTTTTTTTTATAACCGCGGTGTCCAGACTATCTTACGAGCACCTTGACTAATTCCACGGGATACCTACTACTACCTCCACCAACAATAGGTACTGGGTAACTTTGTTCACCAAGGTCAGAACATATGAGAAGAGATCACCTATTGTTTTTATCTCTGTTGGATTTGCACCTGACACCTCATGGTGTTCAACTCACTTCATTCACCACTAGACCACGCCCTTGAGTCTATTGGGAGTTGATACTTCTTGAAGACGATTTCTATTATCTCTGTTATGTAGAGATAGTAGTGATGATTTCCATATTTGCATAATTATTACATTCTTCAACTCACTCTCGTCCCTTCATCACACCAAACTAAAACTCTAGGAACAATAGCAATCTTACTACAAGGACCCATATCAAATCACCGGCAAAACCAGGCTTCCAACAGGTATACTAGTGCTTAAATTCTCAATAGCTTCTTTGTCAAAAAAAAAAATCTCAATAGCTACTTTACGCAAAGTGATTAAATTGATTTATTTAAATGACATTATATGGAGATACTAGTCTAAAAGAATAAAAATGTAATGACTATGAAACAACAGTGTAGTGAAAAAACAGAGATATGTAACCTGGACTTGGTGAACTTGAGGAACACTTAGGCAAACAGCATGAGATTGCAAATGTTCTAGACCTGGATACAAATTCCCCATGTTCATTGCTTCTCTTTCCTGCAAAAGAACATGAATAACAAATAAAAAAAAGGTACTATCCCCCGAGCTTACCCTTTTGAAATGCATATTTAGTTCTTTCCCCACACCAGCTAAACTCTAAATACACTGATTATTTTGATTAAGTATATTTCACTTTTGCAAGTATCATCAAGGAGGTACTGCAAA